GGAGGTCGGAAACATTTAACAACTCGAGCCCAGGACCGATTTATTGTCCTTCAGACCAGGCTCCAACAGTTCTCGAACGCTACGACCTTACTTTTCGAATGCAACTGGTGTGCGTGTAAGCACGCAAACTGTAAGAAACAGGTTGCATGGTGCTGGATTGAGGTCACAGAGGCAAGCAATAAATGAGTGGACCCCGGTCCACTTCACTGATGAGTCAAGGTTTTGTGTGGACTTCACGGACAGACGGCCTAGGGTTTGGAGAAGTCCAAATGAACGCTTAGCTCCAGAATGCGTTGCAGAACACGAACGTTTTGGCGGGGGTTCAGTCATGGTGAAGGCGGAAATAAGCGCTCAGGGGAAAGAGACATACACATCATTGAAAACGGTACACCGCGGCAGAAATGTACGTCAATGAAATTATCTTAAACGTCCATGTACGTACGAACGCTGTCGCAGTCGGTCCTGATCTCATTCTTGTGGATGACAACGCCCGTGCACACAGAACCCACATCACAAACCGATATCATATCTTAAGGAGGCAGCTATAGTCTGCATGGATTGGCCAGCGCGGTCCCCGAATTTAAATCCTACTGAGCATGCTTGGGATACACTGCAGAAAGCAGTTTCTTCACGCAACATCCAACCAACAACAGTTCAGAAGCTAAGACATGCAATCATAGAGGAATATACCCAGATTCCTCATCACAAGGTCTGCATGCTCATCAGCAGCATGCGGCTGCAAAGTCAAGCCGTAAGTAATGCCCGCGGACATCATTCTCGGAATTAAACACCATACGCCAACCATTTCCTGATTTGCATGTTTTTTTTATTCCACTATGTGATCTCCAAAATGTTAATTTTCGTCCAGCACACTCTTTTCGGAACAGGTACACGTCAAGAAACACTTCCATTTTTTATTATTTTAATAAAAATCAATTCTAAAAATCAATGCCAAACTTATGATATTTAATTCTTTTTAATCAATTTTCACATTTATTACAAATACACAAAAGTAACGCACTGAAGAAAAAAGTGATCCTTAGCAAATTATGAGTAGTATATAATATGAATACCTGGTGGGGTGTATATATAGAAATGCGTCTGTTTTCTTTGATTGTAAAGCCACATGTTCAACAAGAAAATTTGATATATGTTCGTTTGATTTGTTTCGTTTTTTCAGCCTATACATTTTCTTCGTTAAATATTGCGCATTATCTATTGTGTTGACCCCTCGCAAACTTTGTCTTCTAATTATTTAAACAAAATCAAAGTCATATACGTACTAAAATCAGACATCCCCAGGTGCATACAAGGTTGAGTATAAAATGTTGCTCAACTGAGCTGTGACGATAACGATACTACTCAAATAACATTCGTACATAACATAATTATACAGTCCAAAAGTCAAATATTTCATACTTCTGTGTGAAGTGAATTTGTTCAGGTACGCAATTTTACTAACATTATATTAAAAGATAGTAAAATTACAATTTAATATGTTGAAACAAATAGTTTAATGTAACGGATTGAACTTAACAAATCTATAATTATTAAACAATCATAACTGTATTACAACATAAAGACGTGTGTATTAAAGACGCGATTGCTTTCATATTATCATAGGATAGCAGTTCGGAATGTAGGGACAAATAGGCTCTATATAATCCTATCAAACCAACAATAAACTTTGAATGTAATTCTTGAAGTTACATTTGATGATTTGTATTTAAACTTGAGACATAGAAATGACCAGAATAATATGTGTTTAAAGGGTTCGTTCCCATGTGAAGGTTATAACATTACTACGAGTTAATATGTATTTAAATAAAACGTTAGTAATTCCATAATGTTTATTCTATCATACGAACTCTTAAACCCTTAAGTACTATAACTTTATATCAATTAATATTTTATAAGTCACTCCACACCTCGTATCAGTAAATTAATATCACAAAGTTAACCTACATAAGAACATAATTATGTAACTTTATCTTTAATAGATAGTGTATGTCACAAAGTCAGTTGAGCACTCATTTTACAACCGCATTTTTAATCTAAATTAGTACATCATTACAATGTATATATTTAATTGTTTACATATCTAATATTTTTAACAAAATATTTACAGTAACTTTCTTTTTATATTAAAAATTTTTACATCTTTGATGATTTATTCAATTTTCTAGATTAAAATGATGAAGGAAAATTTGCTCGTAAACAATATAATAAGTTTCATTCGTCGTATGTATGTTAACACAAATGGTGATGTAAAATACTCAAATTTTCTTTTGATAACTATTGTTTGTTTAAGATAGTACCTCCTGTACTTCATCACAAATGCAATATCATAGAGAAATTACTGCTTCCTATTGAAATTTAATTAATTGAATATCAATATAACTGTCATGATTGACCAGGTAAATGTATGAGCCAATCTGATTAATGAATATGTGATCAGTATAGTTACCAGAAAGATCTTGGGTCATTTTGCTGTCGTTACGAAAGTTATCAAACGCTTTAGACAAAATAGTAGGACTTTATTACTATACTATACTGTACTATATTTTGAGGCATTTTTCCTGTTATCAACTCTCGTACCAATTTTTCTTTGAATTAATGTATTTTGGAGGACCAAGAAGATGAATAGCTTTTACATTCATTGGAGATAGGTTGTCTTTTCTTTAGAATTTATGTCTTGTTTCATAGGATCATTGTTGGTAGTTTTGCTACGGTTTTTAAAAGTTCATTTTGAATTAATTAATGATAATTTCTTCGTTTTATTTATTGCAAATTTCGCGACCTTACTCTTACAACTGAGCGAGGATTCTGTTAACCCATTACTTCATATACACGCCTTTTAACGCCTTTTTCACCCCCCCCCTTTTTGTTGTCTCAAATGATGAAAAAATGCCTTATTTAGGCCCCAAACACTTGTTTTTGTTTGAGAAATGTTGTTAAAAAAGTGACCTCTTTTTCGGCGCGGCCCCCCAACCAAAAGATACATCAGGGGGTTGCCAGAAGGGGGATGTACCCCCTTCTGTTTGGGGGGTTTGAAGGGGGGCGGAGTCCCCCTCATCGCCAAGAAAAATTTTGGACTTGTGAGAGGCTGTAAATGACCCCAGATTGATCATAAGGTAACGTGTAACCAACGCTGAAAAGCATTTGACTCTATCTCAATCCATTGAGAAAGTGCAGCACTTTGAAATCAATTTTGATGGAAAAAATCAACGCAAAATAGTGATTTTTGGCAATTTTGAGATGTCCCCTCGTTGCCATGGTAACAGAAAATTTAAGCCTGAGCATGTTGTTGCAAGTGCAATGGTCCAGTCAACATTTGTGCCAAGTTTGATTAGTGTTGAAGCAGTTTTTATAGTATTATAGCAATTTGAATTTGTAACGGGAGACTTTTCAATGAAAACAGCCATTTTTCACAAAATGCTCATGAAGTAATGGGTTAATGAAAAAAATAAAAAAATCTACAAAACAACAATTTTTCTTCAAATTTATATGACAGGCCATGTTTAAACATGAAAAAACGCGATTTAGGGTAATTTCAAGTATTTTCATCATTTTCAGTTAACCCATTACTTCATATACACGCCTTTTAACGCCTTTTTCACCCCCCCCCCCTCCCCTTTTTGTTGTCTCAAATGAAGAAAAAATGCCTTATTTAGGCCCCAAACACTTGTTTTTGTTTGAGAAATGTTGTTAAAAAAGTGACCTCTTTTTCGGCGCGGCCCCCCAACCAAAAGATACATCAGGGGGTTGCCAGAAGGGGGATGTGCCCCCTTCTGTTTGGGGGGTTTGAAGGGGGGCGGAGTCCCCCTCATCGCCAAGAAAAATTTTGGACTTGTGAGAGGCTGTAAATGACCCCAGATTGATCATAAGGTAACGTGTAACCAACGCTGAAAAGCATTTGACTCTATCTCAATCCATTGAGAAAGTGCAGCACTTTGAAATCAATTTTGATGGAAAAAATCAACGCAAAATAGTGATTTTTGGCAATTTTGAGATGTCCCCTCGTTGCCATGGTAACAGAAAATTTAAGCCTGAGCATGTTGTTGCAAGTGCAATGGTCCAGTCAACATTTGTGCCAAGTTTGATTAGTGTTGAAGCAGTTTTTATAGTATTATAGCAATTTGAACTTGTAACGGGAGACTTTTCAATGAAAACAGCCATTTTTCACAAAATGCTCATGAAGTAATGGGTTAATTGACAATTGTCTCGTTCAATATGTCATTTATTTAAGGAGCTAAAAGGGTGATTTTGGTTTGAACTGTCCACTTTTGTTTTAAGTACTGACCGTCCTTAAGTGGTGTTCCTCTATTTACCTTCGAACGTATGTCTTGTTTTCAGATAATAACGTAGTTGGTAACATAATAAGTTAAAAGTGAAGTAAAAGTTTTTAAAAAAAATGCAACTTACATTTATCACTTTTGAATCCACTTCCAGGAACCAACCAGTACTGGTGTCATATGAAGAAACATGGTCGTGACCCATGATCCCTTGGTTGAGAGGCAGAAACCTTGACCACTAGATCAACCTATCCTTCATTAATTCCTTAGTATTTCAACTGTACTTTCTCACATATGTTGTTCCGTCTACGGTACTTTTATTTATCTTGTTCTCCGTTTTCTTTAATACACTACATTCATAAATGGTTCCCTTACCATACCTTTAAAAAATCTAAACTTTCCGTATTTTAATTACACCTATGGTATTAGAATTGAATTTACAAGGGATTCTCGTTTGAGTTGTTAACTATGATCGTTTATTGATTCCATTTTATTTCTGCTTTTTCTTTGATGTCCCACTTGATAACGTATGTGGGGAACGTAGCTCTGTCTTTCTTAGTTTTGGTTTCATATTAAAATATATATATATAAATGTGGAATTACTTGCATTCAAAATGGCAAGACTGAAACTAAAAAAGCCATTTTGAATACAAAAAAGATACAACTAAAAAACAACTGCTTAAGATAATTATCATATATTTTAGACAATGTATGACGACCAAGCTAAACAAGAGAATCTGTATGGGCAGTTGATGAACGGTGTTGTTACATCGGTGCAATCAGAAACTATGTCTAAAGAAGCGGAGAATATTCGCAGTGCAGTACTTTTCTATTTAATGAAATGGCTTGATGTAGTTGAAGAAATAAATCCTCTGTTTAAAGTCAAAGAGTTAATTGGAGTTGGCAGTTATGCTGAGGGAACGAAGATAATCGAACCTAATGAGTTTGATTATTTAGCTGTGATTGATAATTTCTCCAAGCCAGGTCTGCTTAGTATAGATAGGAAGGCATCAAACTTCAATGAAGGATTAGTAAAAGTCAAAGTTAAAGACGACAATCTAAAGTCTCGTTGCAGCCAGCTTTGTAAAAATGGCCACCTACAATGTTTTCAGCCCATAAACTTTCCTGACCTGGGTGAACATCGATTTGGTCATGTTTTTCTTTTGGCTCTTAAAAAGTTCGTTAAGAAAACAGGATTACAAATGGGACAAGGAACTGGCTCCCCAACATGTTTGTCATGTAGGATCCATTTACCAACTATAAACAACATATCCCTTTTGTTTGGAGGAGCTGATTACAACGCACCTAATGTGCTTATTTATTTTAAATACAAGGGAAGAAAGTTAACAACTGATATATCCCCAGCAATTAGATATTATCAACCTGAGGACTGTTTTCAAGGCGAAGACAGCGTAAGTCCGGTTTTTGCAGACCTTGTTCTTAGTCGTAAATCGCTACTTTTAATCGGAACACAACACGAATCTGATTTTAGAATAACAGTCACCGAAGCTGAAGTTGAATACATAAAAAGGATGATGAAACCGGAACACAAGATCATCTATATATTTTTGAAATATATAACAAAATTATACACGGACATATATACTGTTCATCCATTTACTTCATATATGCTGAAAACGGTCTGTTTTCACCATGATGCTAGATGTGAAGTTCAGAAGATATCAATAAGACACTGTTTTGAATCAGTAATAGAAGATCTAATGGTCTGTACTCAACAAGGATTTGTTATAAGTATTTTAGATAAGCATATTCATCTTAAGTCAATAAACGTTGGCTTTTTGATTTATGAATATAGAACAAGTATGTTAACAGATATAAAGAAGATGTGTATTTTGCCTGAAGGTATCAAAACAGTCGACGCCTTTCATGAATTTGTTGGAGGTTTCGCGCTGAAAGAGAAACAGAAAAGAGATAAAGGTATTTGTTGTACAACATATTATAATTTGATTAAAATCAACTCCTAAATAATTCGGACCTGACATCCACCCATGGGTTGTCACCTTGTTGTGGTCTTTCAAACATCCAATCATTGGCGGGCTTTTAATATTTTGAAAACGATGCGGTTTCTGATTATAACCTTTGCGAAACCAATACGAGTAGGTTATTTTCTTTATTCCGAACAAACTAGGCGTTGTCCACATAGCCGACAGGTTAACTGACAAAACCATCATTCCCATTAAAAAGTGACTCTCTTATTTCCAGCTCATTTGTTAAAAATTACTTCAAACATTTTATTTCTAACAAAAAAAGAACAACAATTTGTTTAACTTTCACGGATAACGGTATTTTTATACTTCTTTTAATTAGTAAAACCGGCTTGATTCCAAGGTTAAAAATAGCTTTCTCGAAAATCCATTTTATCAAGGAGGCAAAACATATACGGTGGTCTTCAGATCTGCATGGAATATATAAGTTGATCTAAACAATAGTCAGATTGTATAATATTATTATTATTTTACAAATATTGCAAAAATGTAAATTACGTTGATGTACATTATTAGTTAGTGTTCCATTGTCTTCGAAGTTGTTCCTTTCTTTATAATTCAATTTTCAAAAGTAAAAACACCAAAGGCAAACAGACTTACTCACCATTAATTTGTGAATCACCATTAAAATGACTGTTGTTTGCATGTTACCAAAGACTTTATATACTTTGTCTGTGACAATCAATATTAACCAATCGCTGCTAATAGATCCAGCAACGTGGACAATATATTTCCATAAGAGACTGTAACTGTATTATCCAAAATATAACCTAATATTGAGCAGTCGAGTGCGTATTTATTGTCGAGAATAAAAGTTCTGCAGGAATACAAATACTAATGACGTCTACTGCTAAAAATATATAGTGTTTGGTAAAATGGAACCTTTCAAAATGTATATACAATCTCATACAAGCTGCAATATAAAATAAAATAAACATATTGATTGCTTTGCTGTATTTGGTTATAGATTAAATAGTATCTAATATTGTTCCGTTATATAAGGTTTATGTTTTGAACTCATACACAACCTGAATAATTATACAAGACTTGGCGGTTGGCTCATCTAATATAAATACTCTTTTTTATTTATTGTAAAGATAAATATTGATAATATAATATAAAATTTATATTTATTTCATATCATAAAGAAAGCGATGACAAGCGGAAAAGGAGAGAATCATCTGAGGACAGGTTTTATGAAAACATTCAACGGGAAGTTTCCAAGTTAACTGATATGGGATTCGGGACTGAAGAAGCCGAGGTTGCTATGAAGAGAGCTTTAGATGACCCAGCATTAGCTTTGTTAATACTTAAATTCGTATGTTTATGTTCCTTTTTGTCTTAACAAAAATGAGTTATTATCGTTATGATACGATTTAAGTTAGATTTAAGGAGAATTTTCAATATTGCATTTGATGCAATGATGTATATTTTTCTTAAATAGAATCAAATATCTTGGAAAAATGTAAAATATCAATTGAAGAATGCCAATGAATTGTCGAACATGTCCTTGGTAAATGTTATTACAATTAATATCAATAACAAATCGGTAATGCTTTTTCCGCATAAGATAAATCGACATAACAGAGGTCATATTTGTTATTCAAACGGAGAGTAGCACAGGCTTGTTGGGGGAAATCATAAGTGGTTCAATATCATTGATAGAATGAGTTAAAGAAATGTACTTTCATTGATATTGAAGGGTGATGAAAATATTGATATAATATAACTGACTATATAAATGAAAGAAATATAATGATATTAAATTATGATTGTATCTTAATTGCTTTCATATATGAAACAATTTAAAACAAAGTGTATTTACCTTGCTAAGACATATTATACATCCTGGACCGAAATAGAAAAGATGAATTTAATCTCTTTTTTTACTAATCCTGGTTTTAGAAATAAATTTTCTGATATACCATTTACATTATTATTAACTTAGAAGTATTTGATGTATCATAAAGACTACCGATTATTTTACACTTTGTTATAGTCTATTATTTTCAGCTTTGAAGTACTAATGATTTATCTTAATACTTTCATTCATGATTTATAATTATGTGATATTGTTTCTTATTTAGAATCATGAAATACCATGTAATATATAACAACAAAATATACTGAAATAAATTATAATTCTCATGCTGATTGATTTTTAGAAAACATTATTGATGTAATTACTAAAATAAGTAAAATATGATTGATGAATGATTCTTGACAATTAATTGATACAATATCACTAAAAGACATGTTACAGTAGTTGTATTGACATTGTATAGTCACGAAAATCAAAACTGATATATATTTACAATCGTTGTAATTATATTATTATTGTAGGACGCTGAAAGGCGAAAAGACAAAACGATAATTGAATCAGATGTTATCCTTCCTGAACATCGTCAACGAGCTCCGGATCAGTCTTGTGTTCCATCAGACTCTACTGATGCATCAATAAGTTCAATAGGAGAGTCTCTACGTGATACCATTATTCAACATAACTGTTCTACCACGATCTCTGAGGAAATAATTTATGAACGACAAAAACATTAAAACATGCTAAAACATTGACTGCGAGTTGAACATAGCATTTAGACTGCAGTAAAAATTGAACCCTTTTACAACTGGACAGTTTGAACAATTGAATATAATGCAACGTTCGCTAATTTTAATCAAAACTGAACAAATCGAATGGCAATTTAAAAGCATTAATTTGTCAAAAAATAATATTAAGACGGACATTATACAATAAGATACTTATATCGTGTACTTGTGAGATATGTATCGACTCTGTAAAGGTCATTTTGTGCTTCTTAACTTTAACTCACTCAGAAAGACATGAGGTGTTACTTAGTGTATAATATAAAGCACAAGCGGCCACAAAAGAAGGACCATAACGGCCTTTCATGAACGAATCCAGTCTTTTGCGGGATTCGGACCCATTTAAACCTAAGCGGAAGCGGGGAAGTAATTTAAGGTCAGCGACCATAACCACTTGGTCATGAAGGCCATATCATAGAGAACTATGTTCAAAAAGATAAAACGTTATAAACAAAAGTGAGAAAGACTACAGTTATTTTCTTTCAATTCAAAGAGACTATTCATAGCCGATAAGAAATGAAAAACTTTTCAAGTATGATTATTAGGTCTTGTACTCGACAATTTTGTCATTTAACATCAAAAAAACACACTGCAGATGATCACGTGATGATCAGGATATTAAATCGTTCGGCCATTGTACTCATTAAATTTGGTTCGACCATTGTACTCGTTTATTACAAGGATAGACAATGTTTTTGACGGATAAACTTGCAATTGTGCACAAGATGTCATTGCTAATTGTGCTCAACATGCATTTCTTTTACTGAAAACAAAGCATTTTAGTACCTGTTCGGTCATTGTACTCATCACCCAAAACAACTTTTTTGACTTTCAGGCCTAAACATAGGGAGCTACAAAGTAACCAATAACAGAACAGTACGGGGATTTTTACCCGGGGTTCCGTGCAGCCTAGTTTTACATATAAATTTAACGTTAATTGTATGCTTACCTCAATTTCACTGCTTTAACCGAGCGTATAAGCAGCCATTTTATTAGCCCATTGTACGATTTGGGTCACGTGATCCTCCGCAGTGATACAGTTGCCTTAAATTCTTTTTCAAATTTTAAAGAACGACAGTTGAAAGAATCTAATTACGAAAACGTTTATTCTTTGTGGAAGAATTTTCACAAAATACCAATAGAACTTTGACGTGCAATTACTTTAAAAGAGATTTAAGTGTTTTCACGCATTGTTTTACTTGGGTCATACGCCGCTATTCATGGAATGGCACGAAGTATAACTTTGCAGGTTCAACGATGACTGCCGTATGAATACATCTGTGGATGTTTCTAAAATAAAAAATTCACCATTTTCATGATTAAATGTTGAAGTCTGCTTATTAATAAGCCGGTACTGGGGGAGGCGTGCACGGTTACTTGCATTTTCCAGTACCGTTCATGAACAGGCTCAATCAAACCAATCTGAAACATTTCAATTTGTTGTTTTGGGGATTCTGTATTTTTGTTGTTTAAAATAAATTGATATTTCGTTATGGTAATGATAAATTTATCATTGTAACACGACCCGCATTTTTCCCTATTGAACATAGAAGAACAGAAAGTGTGTGTTATTATGCAACAGATGCAGATTCCTCGCAGCCAAACTCCAAACAGTGATGTTATTGAGCGATAAAATCACTGTTTGGGATATATTATTTCTTAAGTAAGATACAGTCGCAAGTTCTGCACAAATCACAGACAGATGAAAACGCGCTACGAAGAGAAAAAACTAAAGATTGCGCTATACGAAAGACATCACACTTTTAAATTTTATGTAAAAGAAAATAAAGTATTTATCTTTTGAAAAGAGTATTCATGCAAATTTGCCATACCTTCACATCTTTTATCATTTCTAAAACTTGTTGTTTTTGTATATATTTTCATCCATATACATGTATTAGCATTGAAATCTTATTACATAAGTTATCAAGACGCCACAAATCAGTTTAAGATTATAAATTTGCTCACAGATCTACTTAAAACAACAAACAAAACATTTAAGATTGCATTTTATGTTGCTGAAAAACATTAAAAAATATTTATGACTTTTTTGGGAATATTTATAGTGCTGGTTTTGCTAGGTTAACTATAACGTTTGTAATCTTTACAACACTGCATACTTAAACGGTCAATTTTCTTCGGTTAATTAAAAAGTTGTATAATCCTTTTAACAAAGGATATTTACACGTACACTTTTCTTTTGTAATTCATGACATATGTGTACTCATTACAGTACTGCACGATTACAAGTTTGATTTTCATTTGTTAATCGTATTGTTTAATTTATCGGTATAATAACTACAGGGTTAATTTCCATTGATTAAAAATGACTTTTGCGTAATTGTTACAATACAGCATGTTTTCAAAATCAGTTTTCATTTGTTAATCGTAATGTTAATGAAATTCTGATAATGCTGCACGTATGTTCAATCAACTTTCATTGGTCATCCGTGCTGAGTAAAGAGATAATATCAATAAAATGCTGTTAAAGATATTAATATATCATCAAATAAAGGAAGCATGACTATCACATTAGAAACGTATTGGCCATGGAAAAAAAGTGTTTGTTATATGATATATACAAATGCATTTCTTGTTTGCTTTGGTCACATGTTATTTAAAAAGAGGCAGCGTTGTATTTACTGCTTATCATTTGTAAGTTTCATGGATTCCAAACTTTTAATGATAATATGTGCGCTCAGCGATTCTAATTTTGTTTCTTGGTCTTCTTATGCTTTTCCCCTTAGCATTCGTCATTATATGTCATTTTAAGAGCACTTTTCGCTTAATAATTTCTATCAAATCTATTAGAACAAAGGTTGCAGGTTGCAATGTTCTTTACGATGAGCAAGGTGTTTATAATGTCAAGGTAAAAAAGGGGACAAGGTGTAATCTCACCTCATCGTAGTATAAAACTACTGTTTTATCCTCCCTTATTTCAGTTTTCTTGGCATTACCAAGTTTGGTCTTTGTACCAAATCAGACTTTTCCTTTGCTTGGAAGACAACTACATTCGTTTTAATTATCAGAGATTACACTCTGTTTCTGAACAACGTAGTAGATCGATTTTCAATCCGTATTTACTCTGAGGGTATTATTGATATGCCGAGGACGTTCCGATTGTCGAAGGTGTAAGGCGGATTTTTCTAGCTTGATTTCACCTGAGATACAATTTCACATGTTTAAGGGAATTTGCTTTTAACCTTATTGTCATTGTTATTGGAAGAATAATGCGATTTCAAAAGACAATTTGTTAGCAATGTTCTTATAATTTCTTTACTTACCTGACATGCCCTTGCTTTTTTTCTAAGTGAAACCAATCATTTCAAAATTAAATTTCCTGTTGCCAACTGCTAATGAGGTGCAACAATGCGTAGGACGGTACACCAGCTACCGGTGCTATGATGAAAGTTATATTCCAAATAACTATGCCGAAATGTTTGGTAAAATTCCAGTACATTTTACCACTTGAGTAACAAAATTAATCAAGAGTTGATCTTGTGTTGACCTTTTGTCAAATATTCTGAAATTGTCTCTAAATGAACGATTTTGGTCGAGATGTTGTTTAAATGCGATACATTAACAATCATGTGATCTACCATGGTACACATTGTCTCGTCAAGTAACGACAAAACTGTTTGTTATTGTTCACTTATTAAAAAAAGATCAGTTGCTAGCGTTTAAAAACCTTTATATAGATAAAGCTGTCTAACAGTACTCAATTCCCGGTTAGGGAAGAAATTCATTTTACCGGACCGTCTTCTCTCCTCCTTCATTACTTACAGTCCTGGTTGTAAGTTTCTATTGTCTTTTGTTATTCAATGATGACTGCACTTTCAGTCTACCTAAGGGAGTACCTAACAATTGCTTAATAGTAAGTGTCGGTGGCGATTTTATAGAAAACTGCATTTACAAGGAAAACCTCCTACTACAATTCTATTTTGAGAGACCAAAACATATAGATTTGTAATATGACAACAGACATTAATTGAAATAACAGATTTACTTTGGTTAGAGTTTACTATATCTCATACAGTCCAGCCACTTTCCTTGAAACAATTTACGATCAGAATTTTCTCAGACTTCCATAGTTCTGTCTCATACAAACTGTTGATTGCTTCAAGGAATTTATCAATAACATTTCTTTACAATCGCTTACTTAACACAAACACGTGCTAATTTTACACAGCATATAAACTAATTTGTATTAACACCTATATCAACATGTAAGTACTCAAGTTAATGATTCACCAAGAAAAAAAATCAAACAAACAAACACAATTCTTTTTCTTTGGTCATAACTCGTCTGTAAAATGAATAATTAAAAATATCTTGTAAGTATTATATACCATTTTGCGTCATACAAAAACATTATGCCCTCGTTATATATTGTAAGGCTTAAAAATATTATCAATTTATTTTGTTTTCAGCAAGTAAATTATTTATTTAGTCACATTTTCACATTTATTTAAAATCAGTAGACTGAGACCGCATACGATTAGAGCAAATAAAATATTGATAAAGTATCTTCTTGCTTACTGGTGTATTAACATTTATTGCATGTTTATTAAATAATTCACATGACTTTCTATCAAAAAAAAACTTGTTCATAATTTTTATATTTGTTAATTCTAGTCCCACGTGGAGGAATTAAAAATATTGCGATCCGTGATCTTGGACCCCTGGGATGCGGTGTCGTTTTCAACATGAATGGAAGCAAACAAACTTTGTTTTTTATATTATTCATGAATTGTAGCAGTAAAAACTGAAACTTTTTAGCTATGCCAGCCTACACATTAGGGATTTAAGTAGCTTCACTGGGAAAACAAAGCCTAAAATCAGAAAATTTGCAATTCTCACCAAGATAAACTCAGGCATTTCACACGAAAGAATATGGAACCAATAAATATTTTACACCATTATTGCTCATTATTTTCTGATTCAACTATTCAAGATTCAAACTGGAAGTGATGAAATGAAATTATTAATCTCAATACACACAATGTCAATGAGCAAAAAAAAGCATTTTGTTATTGACCTGTATCCTCATTTTAATATTAACAAATGAAAAAAAATGTTTTATTGAAAATAAATTTATGCTTATCATAAACAACGTTCTACGCCTGTACAATTTCACAAACAAGCAAGAAAAAGACTTATTGCAAAGAGACCTCCACAAAACGTTACCTAAACCATGACACAGCGCCACCAAAAAAGCATCCAGCAGAACACGTAACAAAATTGGGAAAAAACATTATGGCAGAGGGAGCTACTAATAACAGGTGAATACACATTTAAATCAGATTAAAAGAAGTATTTTATTCAGTTAATACTTTACATATTTATTTAAAAGAATTGATACTCACGCATTTTATTTAACTTCGTATACAGAAATTTTACAAGAGAACGGTACCTCAATACAATCATTTAATTAGTTACCGCCCCCACCGTGTGTGTATATTATTATTGCTAGTATTTTAACTTCTGAACGTGCTCAATGTAACCATAATAAGTTTAAGTTCAAGGTTTCCTTGCATACAGCAAAATATTTGCTTTTTCATTAAGGCAAACACAATGCATGATCTATTATTTTATCACAAACAAACGAACAAACGTAATTGTGTTTATAATAATAATAATTAACGCTCAGTAGGAAGTATTTGTAAATATATATAAAGTATTTGTTCTCAACTTTACAACAACAAAAAATTATGTTCTTTGAAGGAATAATTTATTGTTTTTTGACAGTTGGCTATAGGCATTGGTCTCAGATCTCTGATCTCTAAATTTTGGTAGTGTCAGTTATTTCCATCTTAGATAAACTTGTCCTTTATTATTTTCTCAAAATAATTCATATTGGTTTTAAGATATAGTCTTAATATTAGTTAATTCTTAATAATCAACTGAACATGCATAATTCTTTATAGTGAACCGAATGAGCACTGTTAATATTGTCACAATGGCCTTGATACAAATGATATATAGGTAAATCATTGCCTAACATCATTTTTAGCCGAAATAAAACATATCATTCTTTACAAATAATAGAAAAATGAAATCGGCCTAGTTCACCATGAACATTTTAAGTTTTTTGAAGTTGGATAACTCCTAAAATATGTTTGCAAAGTATCAATAGCAATTTAAATTGAAAGATGTTAACAAAGTAGTCTTTTTTTTAAAAAATAACAATAAAAATAACAATTACTTTGTTACATGGACAGAAGAAGACAAGATAAGTACTTAGTCTATAAGAATGTCTTACGTTCGAACAATTTATAAATGTATTATGTGCTAGGATACATAAAAATATTAGAAGTTATCAGAAACACAATAACTTTTCAACAAAAATCGTATGTATAAAATTTCACATGAGTTGCTGTATAATAATATTATATGACAAGGAAGGTGAAAGTTATTGTCGGTCCCCTTTCGCACTTTTGTACCCCGGGTTTAAAATTGCAGGAAATTTTTACTGGGGGAAAATAAACTCACGACATTTGTTATATAAACACTTTGTGAAATTTAAAAAATAAAAGAAATAGTATTATAAATTGAAGTAAACATAATATGTAATGTAAAAATTATGTTGTCACCGCTATAAAGTGTTTAAAAATGTGAGGACACAAAAAATCACATGAAAATCAGTAAAGTCTTACACTATCTCTTTAATTAAGTTAATTGTCCTTGATGTAGTCAATTTTACTTCTTGTAATATACAGGAGCATTTCAAGGTTTCTGTAACAAAAGCAATTAACACTACTGCGGTTGTATTTTTAGAGTTGTTTTATTTTAACATCTTGGAATATCGCAATACTCATATTCGAAATACCCAGGTAAGAAACACCAAAGATCATATGCATCAGGTGAAGGATTACGACAGTAATTCTCTGCCTTTGTAAACGATGACTCTGGGATATATTGCACATCTAATGTCCCATTCTCCAATATGATTGTCCCATCTAATCACATGGTAAGCCCGAACGGGTTGACATTCTTCTTCCTCGCATATTCCAAACATTTTTGGTGAAGCAATCGTCAGAATCTGTAAATACAATATTCAAATTAATAAACTTATAACAACGGTTAACTGAAAAATGTGAGAAACCACCGACCGGGAGTTGAGTAAGTTGAATTGGTATCAATGGAAGAGGATGAATGAACAAATTAATTCATCAATCAACAAATTACATTAACAACAAGTAATTAAGCGTGATAAAAAGTACCAGACGGAATGGATAATTATTACGAAATAATTTGACGGACATTATGGATTCATTCAATTAGCACTTCAATGTTAACTGTAAATGTTCTTGCTTTCAAAAGTGTTATAATTTAACCGACGAAATGTCTTGTGTTTTATCTGAAACGAGTTTATATGTATATGTCGCTTTAACGAAATAGCGTTAGCATGGTGATTTTGCTGTCTCAACAAAGTGAGCGTGGGTTCGAGCATAATCGGGTCACGACCATGTTTCTTCATATAACACCAGTAGAAATTAGCTTCAGGAATTGGACTCGAAAGTGGTTTAAACAAGCTACAAACTCTCTTCCTGTTTCAGCTTGAAAAGCCAATAGTGTTTAAACTTTAAACAAATATACATTCTAAAAAAATGAACACGTATCATCTTCATTAAAGGTAAGGTTTTTAAGGCATGATATTTGAAATTAAATCTTTCAAAATGCTTACAAACTTTGCATCGCATTTATTTACGTTTTCATATCCGAATATTTGAATAGTAAATAAAAACAAATTATCAATATTATTAAACGATGTTGATATAAAACATATCTTATCAAACATACTTAAGAATTTGCACACGTGTGAACCTTCTTTTTGATAACACCTTTGGTTAGCACGACATGGCCTTGAACTGCAATTTCCAACCATTTCCTATAAAAAAAGCGAAGATCAGATAAACCAAAGATTAAAGATAGGTTTGCACAATTAGATGTAAACGTGTTGTTATTTGTCAACGTGTTAGCTGTGTCAAGTATAAGAAAGAAGACATAACACATTAACTATATGGTAGACCAAATAAAAAACAAAATCTTGTATTCTTGTTTTTGATAAGTAAACGCACTTAGCTAGTCATATTATATTTTAATTTTTCATATCCTCTCTGTATTCTATCGAGTGGATTATTTATTTATTTATCCGTGCATTTTATATTTGAAAAGTTCACAGTGAAAATTATCAATATATAATTTTACACTTTTCAATGACGAGACTACTTTTAAAAGAATTTTCCCAATGTTGTACCTCAATTTTAATTTTGCTTACAATTCTGACATTGTTTCAAATTTACAGTCTGGATATACATTCCTTACACATTGGTGACATTTTGGGCATATTAAAGTATCCCCCTAATGCAATATGAAAAACATTGACGGTCACCGGCCCGAAGACTAAGTTAACAACCCAGCGTTCGTAACACAGCGTTTCATCAATTCCATCTATTCAAAATTCCTTGCCGCTTTTTGGATTATAACACATTTGTCAACATTTATTTATTGCCTGTAACAATCCTCAAATACTTTTTCTTTCATATTAAAAGATGTATGACTAAAATGCCAAACACAATTATTTTCTTCCCGTGAAATACACAACTTTTAAAATGGTGGCCGCTTATATTACACGAAGCCCGACCTAATAGAAACTTGCGCCAAAAATAACGGAAATAGTGCGACTTTTTTCTTTTACTAGAATTGTTTGTTTTTATTCTTAAAACAAGGAATCATTTATATTATTTTGTAATAAAAATAGATAATACCGTCACCATTAAACGTTGATTGTTGAATTTATTTTTTGCTCAAGACTTCATGTTTCATGAAAAATTCGGGGCTACCAGTGGAGAAACAGATTGATTATCCAGATAATATTAAGGCAATTTCATTGAAAATGTATTTAAGCATAAAATAAAAAGACAATTTGTTTGTTTGTTGTGAAAGATGTTATTTCATTTCATCTCGTGAACTTTAAAAACAGTACTATGTGAAAGAAAATTTTGTTAAAATACTGGTTTTACAGCTCACTCAATGAAATAAAATTTTATTTTACAAAACAAAATATCCTCTATATCTTGCATGCACTTCAATTGCAAATAATGCTTATTCAAGACGTTATTTGTACCAAAATAGTAACAGCATTTTTTTGTCGTGTCAATAAATTGTGTGGTTTTGGATTTCTATACGTTTGTTCGTTTTGCTGCAATGTTGAAAAAAGCTTCTTCTGAAAACAAAGATAAACTTACGCTATGCCATTCGCTGATATCCGAGTAAATTGATCCCTTTTTGGTTTTAAACGCCAATTGGTCAATATCGACCGGTCAATATCGTTCAATTTACATGCTTTCTTCGTTCTGTCATAGTCAATAGGTTTACACATTTTCAATGACATACATGTCTTAGCACATTCATGATGGTTTGTTTCATTAATGTCCATAACGTATGACCATTTAAGGCTATGTTTAAATTGTCCTTCCCTGGTTGAAATTGTTTACAGGTGCTTGAGTAAACTGATTGAAATAAAACTACAAGGATAATCGCTACTCCTGCATGCACAATCATTATCTTAAGTTTAAATTAAACACTTATTACCGACACAAAGTTTAAACAGAGAATGAAAAGTGTGGACCTTATCAGACATTCAACCAGTATTTATAATTGTTAAGCTGTTGGTATGTCTGCATTACCTGGAATGCGCCTCTAGTGTTTCAATAAATAATAAAAACAATTTAGGTGTCACTGATCAATGAATAATGCATTTGAAATTCAGCAACGTATTTCACGTGATTCAGTAGTTTGCAATTAATGATTTTGTTTGCCCATTCTTATTTAATTATTTAGTGTTGTTTTGTAACCAAGGTTCCATTATAATGCAATTAGAAGTTCATTTTGCCATTGCACGAATATGTCAGATTTAGCTCACCTTACCGATAGTTCCGATCCTTTTGACGAATTAATCATATTTTGTTGTATTATTTTGTCCGAATAATTAAGGTCGTTGGCTTCAAATCATTTGCCCCTCACCGCTTTGTGTTCGACTTATTATGCTTTCATGTGGGAAGCTATCCAGCTAGATTACGGTACGACGGTAGTTCTACTCAGGTGCCCATTCGTGCCTGAAATAAGGCATGGAATAGCACTCGAGGTCTTCCTCTACCAGAAATGCTGGAACGTCGCCATATGACATTTACTGTATCGGTGTGACGAAAAGCCGTAACAAACAAACAAATGTGTTTCTAGACGAAGGATATGTAAGATGTAATTCGTAAGTTATTACGGCTCGATTAATTATTCATTTTTTATAGTAAAACCCTTAATCATTTTGTGAAAGTATTATTTTACATTTCATTTACTTTAGTGACAATAGTTAGCCCTGGGACGTTACAAACACTTTTACAAAAATACAAAAAGCAAAGTAAATTCATTCTTGATCGATAAGTAATGAAATACTATATTAATAGTTAGCTTCTGAAGTGTTGTATCAACTTTCAACGTGCTAAAATAGATGCATTAATAACTGTGTTCTTTTACACCAAAAACGTGTTTGTTTTTACGATTTCTTTCTAATTTTGAAATAAAAAGACAATATTTGAAAGAAAATAAGTATGGAACGTTTATTATTATACGAAGGAACTTTCTTAACAAAACAAACAAACAAAAAGAAATAGAACTTTGATGTTGCTGAGTTTACATTGCCATGACATCATGCTATTTTTATCAGTAAAAGAGGTTCAGATACAGCCGCAAGTACTGCACAGGTGACAAACAGATATGTCTTTCAGAAGGGTGGATTGGTAGAATGCTAAAGCTCGGTTTTCTGAAAGCAAAATAAATAAAATGTACATGACACTTATAGATGATATACTATTTCAAAGGTTAAGTGAAAAAATATATGCATTAAAACATAACCTAAACTCGTTGAGCTCAATAAATTAATACAGACGGTAAGTTGTATTAAAGAAACAACACGCTTTTATCAGAAAAAAAATATTGAGCAAGCTTAATGAAAGACACAACACTTTTTGCTCCATAAAAAAGGGAAAAATATTGATATTTTGAAAAGTGTCATCATGAAAATTTCCCGGTCAACAATACCCATAGTTTGTAAAATGAAAAGGAAATACTATTTCTAAATAGCTGATTAAATAAACGGTTTCACACACACGCACGCACCAACGCACGCACACACACAAGTTTGACATTTTATTAAGAACATACTTGAACAATTGATGAAATAGGGCGCAATAAAGAATTCTTTAGGAACGCACAACATGACAAAATCGTAAAATGTTGCAGGCTCGGTTTGATTCAGCCTGTTCATGGACGTTAATAGAATGTGCAATTAACCGTCCACGCCTCCTGGCACCTGCTTAAGCAGAATTCAACATTTAATCATGGTAATTGTGAAATTTGGAATTTCGAAACAACTGCAGATATGTTTCATCACAGGTTAAATTTAACTACATTGATCCTGATAGATCTGATAGATTTGTCTTGTCTCACTGATCTACTTGACATAACTACATTGATCCTGATAACGCTGATAGATTTGTCTTTCTCACCGATCTACTTGACATAACTACATTGATCCTGATAACGCTGATAGATTTGTCTTTCTCACTGATCTGCTTGACATAACTACATTGATCCTGATAACGCTGATAGATTTGTCTTGCTCATTGATCTACTTGACATAACTACATTGATCCTGATAACGCTGATAGATTTGTCTTGCTCATTGATCTACTTGGCATAACTGCATTGATCCTGATAACGCTGATAGATTTGTCTTGCTCACTGATCTACTTGACATAACTACATTGATCCTGATAACGCTGATATATTTGTCTTTCTCATTGATCTACTTGGAGTAGTCAAGGGCCGAAGGATAGATCACATTTTTTGAGTAAAAAATCGGAACCATTCAAGCGCGGCGTGATTTATCCGCCATTTATGCACTGTTTATTTTTGTATTTAGGTTATGACAGAATACAGCAGACGACCCATTTTTATCCGCCGATAGTCCGTTAAACTGAATATTATAAATGCGCTGTCGGGCGCAACATCTTTTACCCGTTTATGATATTTAACCCTTTCTCCAATAATTTAATTTCACTTGTGTTGTAGCCACCGATAGATACACATCGAGGCAATAAACCTTATACTGACAGATAAAGAGCAAAACCCATTCATACGGACAAAGGTTAAACTTTATAACATTTTTTCACAATATTACAAAAAGTGACTATCCATTAGCCAATCAAATCACAATACAGTGTATTGGATGTATTTTTCGCCCACTTAACCTCTACCTGCTGGAGAGTCTAAATCGGTTTAAACTTTACGGTTTAACAATTTTTACAACGCTACAGTAGTTTAATGTTATTTATGAGCGTTTAACAGAGCAGACGACAAGTTGTTATATCAGCGATAAAGGTTTAAGCAAAACAAGCCGGTGTTTACATATTTACATTTATTTACAAACGTTTTTTTCTCTTTTTCATGGTACAATTTATAACATGTAAATACAATTAATAGAGTAATAATTTTTTAGATAGTAATTATTTTACACATAAACTCACAAACACACAAAGTAATGTTAATTTAAGTCCGACGCTTTCATCCATTAGTAATTATTTTGCACATAAACTGAAAAACGTTAATTTAAGTCCGAAGCTTTTATCCAACTGTTAAATTTAGGCGGGAAACTTTTCCATTTGACAAAGAGTTGTTTATTTCGTCCTTTTCCTCGGCTTTTTAATATTTTTTCTATTTTCCATGTTTGATTAGGATCAATGTCCACCTTCTGTAACTCGCTTTCATAAAATGTGCCTTTGATTTCTTCTTGTTGCATGTCTTGAAGACGATAGATAGGCAATGTACCTCTGTGATAACGTTTATACACCTTAAACAATTCGCCCGAAAACGTTTGATGGTACGCCCTAGTAAATATAGTTTTTAGATGACTGATACGCACATAATCTCGTAATTTAAATTTGAAGCGTTTGAGATTTATATTCGATTTGTTGTTTTTAGGGTTTTGAGCCATGTAGGTTGATATTCGTACTTCTTCTTGATTACTGTCTTTGACATCTGCGGGTTTCATTCCAATAGTTCTATGATAGGTATGGTTATAGCTGTCGGCGATGTCCTGTAATATGGATAAAAATGTACTGGTTTCTTTGTACGACAAGTAGCGCATGAGTCTGGTTTTTATACTCAAAATCGCCCTTTCGGATGTACTCGCTTTTGTCTCATTTTGTGTGGGTGAATATATTACGTCATGTTTCTTCATTAGTTCTTGCACCGTCTTGGCTCTAAACTCCTGACCTGAAAACAAACAAAATGTATAAAATATATTAATACTGTTGTCATTTTTAAAGTACACATAATATAAATAATAAAAAGTAATAGTTTATAAAGACCTTTGTCAGTTATTAATCGTCGAGCTCTCCGGCCAGATTCAACCATGATGTCTTTGAAAGCTTCAGTAACATCTTGTCCAGTTTTCTGTTTGAGTGGTCTCAACCAAACATACTTGGAGAATGTGTCTATCACTAACAAAATGTATTTGAAACCGTTGTTCCATTTAGCAAATTTCACCATATCGATTAAGTCAGCCATCCATAAATCGTCTTTACCCGCACTAACAACATGATTTCGTGTGAATCGTCTCCTAACCGGTTTGTGTAAACTATATGATTCCTGATTATGCAAGAATTTGCGTATTTTCTGCATTCCGATATTAAATTTCCCTTCATTTTTTACAACTTTGTACAGTTTTTGTGGCCCAGCAAATGCGGCTGGGTGTTTTGGGTCAAAATATATTGACTTTTAAATACTTCTCCCATGGAGCCATGTTTACTGTTATGTGTTCTGGGTAGAAATGAAATGACTATAGCTATATGTACCTATAAATTAGTTTTCAGATTCCTCCTCATCGATGTCACTTTCTTCCTCGCCACTTTCTTCATCATCAGTAATTTCTGTCTCAAATAAATTTTCAAACTCAGTCTTATGTTTTCTCAAGACCTTTGTCACGGCTGAAGTTTTGTTATAACCTTTTGAAATCAATTTATTTATCTGAGCCATAATGTTGCTGTGCAGTTCATTGTTACTAAGTGGTAATATAAAATTTTCAATTAACATTGAATAATTATTGAAAAACGCCTTTTCGTTGTAAGGCTGTATACGTTCTTCTGCCATTTCTTGTGCTTCGTCACTTTCTTCTCCGTCATCAATCAATTTGGTATATATTCTGTCGAATTTTTCATCATTTGATTTCCTGGCTCGCTTCCATAAATTTACGTAAGCCTCATTATCTTCTAAGGAGTTCTCTTCATGCTCACTATCGCTTATTTCTTCATGCATTCGTTTCTTCTGATCCCTGCTTTCGGGACACCACCCGCTTTTGACATGTCTTTGCACGTCATGGAATAGTGCCAAATAATTGACCACAATCGTCACAAGCTTGTCCTTTATTTTCCATGATTATCTCTCCAAATTATTTTCTAATTTATTATTTCTGTATTTTTTTCTGACTTATCCTCTATTTTGTCTGGTTCTGAGTATTCCCCGATGTTATCCGTATGAATTTCAGCAGCAGAATGATTGAATTCTGGGATATTGTCTTCTTTTATAGGTTCTTGGGGGTCACGTGACTTATGGATTCTGAATTTTGATTATTTTTTCTGATACATTTTAACCTCTGATCCTCTGGTGTAAAATGGTTTTAAAATCCTCCAATAAATGACCATATGGATACTTGATAGCTTTGGCAAATTGTTTTAAAACGTATATCACTTTGACAAGGATACATTTGTCTAGCCAGTTTTCATGATCGATTGTTTGTCTACTGGGTTATTTAAACAACACTCAAATAATGACAGTTTCTTCTTCTTTGTGTAGGAATCTTTAGTACCAAACAAACATTCTGATTGATAGAAATCACGGAGAGAGATCTGTGGTGGGAACCCTCCGTAAAACAAATCTGTAATGCGTTTATCTTTGCCTGATTCAGAAACACAAATCATCCCAAACCATCAGCGCAAATTGTTCATTCTTGGATCAAACAGAACCCTCATCCGTCTTCTAGGTCAGCGGGAATCTCTTGAATAAATTCTACTCGAGGTATCCACGGCGTTCTTTCAATGTCAGTATTATACGGTTGTCAACGTTTGTATAACCACACGCGATCCTTTGTATACCAGGTTGAATTTTAGAGCTGTGATACTGTAATAACTCTTTCACCATTGTTGTCTTCCCACAGGCTAAGAAAAGATGAAATTATTTTAGTAACTTTTAGTTTAAAATTAACAAAAAAAAAAACACTATTTTTCATAACAAAAAACCTCAGCATTTTCACCAAAGCTTTGCAAAAAAAACATGAACTATATCTATTTTGCACTCCAGTTGTAGTAAAATCTATTAAATAAACACAAAATTCAGAGAAAGACTGTATTTAAGTCATAAAAAATATTTCAGAGAAAAAAAATGTTGAAAAATAGTTGTAGTTATGTATCCAAACTTGTAATAAACTATGTGTAAGAAAAATGTAAAAAATACCAGAAATATGTATATAATTACCCGTCGGGACCTGAAATCATCATAGTAAATGGATGGAGAAACACACATGTTTTCTTTTGCGGTGATGGTGGTGGTGATGGCGCAGCCTGTAACAGATGCTGTAACATGCGCTTCAGCATGCACAAATTTCGCTCCATGCGCTCCTAAATGCCCTCCCAAATGAGCTCCCATGTATTCCTAATTGAGCTCCGTGAGGAGGAGGAGGCGCACCCCTGTACCCCCCAAATGCGATCCCTGAGGAGGAGGAGGAGGCGCTCCAAAATGCACCCTCTGAGGAGGAGGCGGGGCGCTCCCAAATGCACCCTCTGAGGAGGAGGAGGAGGAGGAGGACACGATTGACTGGCTCTTTCATGCATTTGTTTCTGGTGTCCGTAACATATTGTCTCTTCTCGAAACAATCTTGATGACACTCTGGACACTGTTTTTTTCCATCTGTTCAGTTCAAAAGTCGAACAAGTAATGAGGCAAATAACTATTTTGTCTTAGTTTTATAATTATATTCTTTTTGACCAATTCTACATCATCGTTTGCACAGACCTCAACCAATCACATGGCTTGATTCTTTCAGTTCTCTATATCATAATGATCAGATTCATAAGTGCTTCCATTCCTCTTCGTGTCAGCTAACGTAGAGGTTTTTAAGTCATTTAGTATAGTGTTAACAGTCTTAACACCAAATAAATTTGGATTATATTCGTATTTAAGTAAGTGATTTTCTTGGTCTCGCCCGGCTCTTTCTTCAGTCTAGCCTGGCTTTTTCTTAGTCTCGCCTGACTTTTCTTAGTCTCGCCTGGTTTTTTCTGTGTGTTCTTAATTAAAATTGAAAAATTTATAAAAATACCTTAATAATCCTATATTTACTTCTTTGTAATAAAATTAAGAGAAAAATAATATGTGTATTTATATCTTTTTTTCAAAGTTTATTATTTAACTCGCGACTAATACTGCATTTTTTTTCATTATCATTTCAGTCGTCAACACAATCAACATGAATGTATACCTGCGAACAGTGCGAAGCTAGTTTTCCACATAAGCTAAGTCAGCTGCTCTCAGCATAGATAGAACAGAAAATCATTGGCAAAAATTTACATTGCCCTAGCTGCAAGAAGACTTTTCAATAGAAAAACAGAACTTAGATCGTCATATGAAGAAATATGCCGACGAAAATTCTCACCACTATCCAGAATGTCTTAACAGTGTTTACAAGGAAAGATGCGCTTGATGAACATTTTTGCACAACATGAAAATCAACGTGGTGGTGGAATGAAAAGACCTCATGGTGATAATGATTATAATAGCTCAGGAAAACGACAAAAATTAACACAAAAGGATAATGCCACGAAATACTTTAACATTGAGAAAATAAACGAAAGACGAATTGAAAAGTTCAACACCACGGTGTCTTACTATAACATTCAAAATCAAGACTTGGAAGTGAGAGATTTACCAAATATTTTAAAAACACTTAAAGTAATATTTCAGTCTATACTGACAAGAATTACAGAACCATATTCCAGCTCATGATTTAGTGAGGCGCTGTCCATGGATAACCCAGAACTGGACTATCCAATTGTGTTGAGATTTATATGCCAAGATCAGCTTTAACTGTTGATAGACTTCTCTCAGAAATCGAACGAGTTTAACAGTCTTATGAGCAGTTTGTTGTTGACGAGACATTTGGTATAGAACTAGTTCATGTTGCAAACGTTAAAGGCTCAGGATACAGAATGAAACCAACAGTAGACATTACTCAGATGTTACAGAACAAAAAAAGTGTAATACAAATAAAGAATAAGGATGATCTTTGCTTGGCAGAGCACTAGCTACAGCTATAGCTCGTGTTGGAAATTGTGTCGCCCTTAGAACCTAGAGATGCATTCCATGGTGGACGTACTGAAGCATTTCAAATGTATGCAGAGTCCACGGCTAATACTCAGATTAAGTACTTCGATGTTACATCTCTTTATCCCTACATCAATAAAACAGGGAAAATACCCTTAGGCCATCCAAATATAATCACTGAACATTTTGAGAACGTAAATAAATATGAAGGGTTAATTAAATGCAAACTTCTACCTCCAAGAAAACTCTACATTCCTGTTCTTCCAACTAAATGCAACGGTAAGCTTATGTTCACTCTATGTCGCACCTGCAGTGAAACATATGAAAATGGAGAATGTCACCATGGCAACGATGAAAGGGCTATTACAGGCACTTGGGTCACTGATGAAGTTAAGATGGGTTTATCACAAGGTTATAGGTTACTTAAAATTTACGAAAGTATGGCATTTTAATGAAATAGCTCAATACGACCCTCGTACCAAAACGGGTGGGCTTTTTACAGAATATGTAAATACTTTTTTGAAAGTTAAACAGGAAGCCAGTGGTTGGCAGTATTTTGAAAAAGAATGTATTTTACTGGATTATGATAAGATTGAAGAAAATCCTGGTCTGAGACTTTTAGCTAAAATTATTCTTAATTCTTTCTAGGGGGAAATTTTGGCAAACGTTCCAATCTAACGCAAACAACCTTTATTTGACGATCCAGCTCAATTCGTTTGATATGATGACATCTGATCAACAAGAAATCGAGAACGTACGTTTTATAAATGATGAAGCAGTCCAATTAGACTGGGCATATAATACTGATTTCATAGAAACTTCAGGTAGAACCAATGTTGTTGTGGCTGCATACACAACGGCTCAAGCCCGTTTAAAATTGTACAGTTATTTACAACCATTAGGTGAAAGAGTTTTGTATTGTAATACCGATTCTGTTGTGTTCACCTCTGCACAAGGTGAATGGGATCCCCCATTGGGTGACTTCCTTGGAGATTTAACGGATGAAGTTCCAAACAATCAAATAACTAGATTCATCACTAGGGGATTAAGAACTACGCATATTGTTTAGAAAAACCAAACAAAAAAGGTCAATCTTCAATTTGTAAAGTCAGGGGAATAACGTTGAATTTTAAGAACTCAATGGACATTAATTTTGATACACTGAAAGATATGGTAACAGGACAAATGCAAAACCAATGCATTAAAGTTGTGGACAGAAATAAAATCGTTAGAAATAGGGAAACTTGCTGCATCATAACAAAGACTGAAATAAAAGACTATAAAATTGTGTTTGACAAGAGAGTGATCTCTGAAAACTACAATTCGTTTCCTTACGGTTATAAGTCATGACTGTATTGAAAATCACATTGTTTAGTTTATTGTAGCCTATTTATTTAAAAGTATACGCATTGTATTTATGTATTTTATATTTGTTTCAATTATCTAAGACTTGCATAATCTACGTTGTAATAATTGTAAATAAAATATGTCTAAAGTCACAAAATCTTGTACTGCTTTTATGTTCGTTGTATTTACCCCACGGACTGTAGGTGAAAGCATGAAAACATCCCTGCGTGAATTAGTAGCGTTAAACAAACAGGCCGTTGTATGTAGAATGTACGCTTAGTTTCAGCGTAGTTGCATTTCAAAAGGCCGAGTTAAATTATTTTTCGTCTGATATGAAATTCTGACTTTACTTTAAAGAACCAATCAACATAGCCGCTCATTATATCTTTAATTGGAAAAAGAGCGTCTGCTACAAAAGTTTAAAATACTAGCTTAAATCAAATATTTGTAAAAAGATCAAATTTTGGCAGACAATTTAAAAATATCGTCTGCTAGATATACCAATATGGCGGCGCGCTGTCGTTACGCTTGAATGGTTCCGATTTTTTACTCAAAAAATGTGATCTATCCTTCGGCCCTTGACTACTTACTTGGCATAACTACATTGATCCTGATAACGCTGATAGATTTGTCTTTCTCACTGATCTACTTGACATAACTACATTGATCCTGATAACGCTGATAGATTTGTCTTTCTCATTGATCTACTTGACATAACTACATCGATCCTGAAAACGCTGATAGATTTGTCTTGCTCATTGATCTACTTGACATAACTACATTGATCCTGATAGATGTTATATATTTGTCTTGCTCATTGATCTACTCGACATAACAAACCAAAACATTATAAAATTTTGAAAGTTTTTTAAGACAATTTTGAAAAGTAATACGCATAAATAAAAGAGTTATGTATATCACTATAATAATAACCCATACTGATACAAAAACTGACAAATATGCATCAATGGAAAATAATGTCAACTATCATCGGCAAATCTTTAACATATACAAGAAGTTTAGCTCGGTAACTTAGGTTATAATTTCTTTTAATTATTAATAATTTGGAAACATTCGATGAACCTGGTTTATAATAATCAAACACCCGGATGGCCGCCGGTTTTGTCTTCGCAACTAGATCCGTCCTTAATAGTTCCAAGGTGGCACATGTACTTGGATATGTCGGCAAAATCTGGAAAACAAAATAGTCTTATAAATACGTAACTACACGTCGGCAATTCATATCAATACATAAAGGAAACATACAATAATATGCTTCTAATTAAAGATCCTGTATGTTTTGTGATTGATATTGTTAATGTGTGTATACCACACTTGCAAAAAATATTATATTGTACATAATTATGCAAATAAAACAATTTTCAAACATCGAAGAATATGTAAAATGTGTATTGCAAATATTTTGTGCACATTATATTTAATCAATAAATTATATGCATTCATTTTTATTTGAAAATTTGACTAAGAATTGATAGAAAATAAATTTCTAATTACCTCCCTTTATTCACGAGAAATGTTAAATTCGGTAATATCTTTATAAATAATGCTAATTGGAACTTGCAATATTTACAAATTTTAATTTGAGCATCATATTTAAGAAATAAAACCATGAAAAAATGTGTTACAGGATCTTTAAGGACATTGAACGGGCTATTTGGCTGTGAATAAAAAGTTGTATCTTATATAGTATTTAACCATCGCCTGATGACCTCGGTCACTTGTAATTCATAGGGATTGCTTTGGATTCAGTTTCGTGGATTTCACGCCATTTCAAGACCACTTTTCAGTCACTTGTGAACAAATGTAAATTTTGAAATATGAAATTTGATACTAATAGTTAATCTTGTGTGTGAACACGTGGCTAGATTGCACGGACGTTCATGTTACCATGTTCTACACGGTTAACATAGATAGTGGTAAAAGTGAAAGGGGTTAATGAGAATAGTGGTAAATGTGTACTCTTACCTCATCGTAGTATAAAACTACTGTTTTATCGTCCCTTATTTCAGTTTTCTTGGCATTATCAAGTTTGGATTTTGAACTTTCAAGGTCAGCAGAGAACCCGGATGGAATATCTATTTCCATAACGGCCATACCAGCACTTGTAAATCGTTGAGGTAAATATCTAAATACATACATTATGCCTTATGTGAAAGTGTATCAGGAATGCAAAAGGTGAATAAACTAAAGACACCCGCGCGCACACATACGCCTGCAACACTTTTTGTAAATGCATACAACTTTGACGTTTACACGATAATGCACACATATATATTTACTTCTAGTCACCAGTGGCAGAAAAATGTCCATTAACTATTTTATTTTATATCTTCTGTGTGCATAAATAAACTTACATAGAATAGCAGCGCACATGTTACTGACCTTCTGCGAATTCTTTGAGAGAAAACCTACCTTGCGCAAGCACGGAGGATCATTGAACGAATAGTTTCTTCGAAAATGTTGTAAGTTATATTAAAGGCCGGTAGCGAAACCTCACTCTCAACATTAAAGGTGACGGAAACCTAAAAGTCAGAGATGTTTTGGTTAATTTACATAATGTCTACAACTTGATCTTAATCAAATATGTCGAGGGATAATGCATTAGAATTTGCATACCAAACAGTTTGATACTCTTTATTTTTCGCAACATCATAGCTCAAAATTACCATAAATATACATATATTAAAGATTTGACAAATTATTACATCACTTCAGAATTGATTTAAGAATTAATAAAATTATGGAATGTGGTATAAATTAAGACATATGTTAAGATTATAAAATTATCACAGATAAGATTATGACTAGAACAAGCCAGAAACTTAATAACAGAGCATAAGAATCAGTTTAAAGTTAGTGGCACTGTAACCACATCAGACTGCAAGCATCAAATTGTTTGATAGTCACTTTCTCTATTAATTTATGATTGCGAGGTAAACTTGATAATACTAAAACATTACACAGACGACAATTTAACAGACGGACATTTTCAAAACGTGTAAAGAATTAAGATAAAGTTTGGCATAATGACATGACATAATGAAAATTGCAGTTCCACAATTAATAATCATCATTTTTCATTTAATAAATCGATGAAAATAAAATCCATTTTCTGTTCCTGATCATTAACACTTTACCGTGTAATTTTCAATGCTTTTAAATTTATCATCCTAGACTATGTGCTTTCGTTATTATTATATTATTATACGGTGCGTCAAAACGTATGTATGTGTCAACGGACACAATATATATTTCCCATATGAAACTAAAATTACGATAATAAACGCATTAATATAAAATGTTAAATGTTCTAATACTTTTTAAACTATGTCTTCTTCAATGAGAGATACGTAAATTCAGATACAACACTTGTTAAAAAAGAATACTTTAATATCAGAGACATAAATTATAAGTATAAGTCTATAAATCCAGTTTCAATATACAACCTCTTTAAATAATGGTAATCATTTTGCATTTCATTCTGTACATTCCATAAATCGGTAGCATACATTCTGTAAAGCTAGAAAATATTCTTTGTCAAATTAGAAATAAACTGAAAATAGAATTTTTAAAATGTCGAAAAATGACGAGATATGACGTCTTCACATGAGCTGATGATTGCTGCAGTTCCATAAATACTCACTTGAACTAATACTGAACCTCTTCCGTTTGCAGTAAGGGTTACAGCCGGGACGTGGTTACCGCTATTGTTACCCCTCAATATTGCAGTGTGTGGTATCTAAGAAAACACAAAATTCAGTTATAATTTCTGGATGATACTGATTGTAAGAAACTATTCATGGATTTACACCTGTCCGGCTCCTAAGTATTATTCTTAATAAAATCTTATTATGTTACATGGCGCAGGTTTATTACCAAAAATGTCGAGTTTTACTAGTCATGAAGATAACAAGGATGTGAAATGCAATAAACAAAATGGATCAAAATTCAGTAAATTTATTAAAGACCTACGTTTCGGCTATTCAATAGCCTTCATCAAAGATATTAAGTTGTAATGATGTCTGACAGGCTTCAGCTCAGTATAAACAGTTATAAGCATATATTACATGAGACGAATTAATAATACAGCAGACAAACTTTATATAAGAAAAAACGAAAATCATATCATAAATTGACAGGAGCCGTGTATAAAGATTATATAACAGCACGACTATCAAATGCAAATCGTAATTGCAAATGTGCAATATCATACCAATGCCCAAATGGATAGAATGTTTCAAAAAATATATAAGACTTGTCAGCGTATATATACAAAGACTTGTTTTAATTAACAACTGAAATGTATATAACAATAAATCAGTAACGTGCTATGCAAGGCGGTATTAGATTATCTTGGATAGTTAAATCCTTGAAAGTTAGATCCTGAAAATAAAAGTTCTAAAGGATATACGTTGGTATTATAAACTGGCCTATGGTATAAGAATAACTTCTTTATAACAACATTATCTTTTTTTCTTAAAGTAAAGCTTCAAAATAAATTTAAAATCTCAAGACTAGCATATCTCCGTTACAACAAATATCATTGTACGAAAAAAAGGTTTTCACTCCAGATGTTGTATAGTATATTTAACTTACATCGATCAGTTTAAGCACCATTGCATCTGCTTGCTCAATATGAACTTGTTGGACAAAGCCGTCTGACGACACAGCAATGTTAAGGTCAAGGCTATCTTTAAACAAAGCCCCATACTCAGACATCGCTTGAAGTCCAAGAACTGTGTCCTGAAATGTAAAAAAAAAATCTGTATTGAATCAAATCATTCACCCAAATATATATAACCATAATGTTTCGTTGGCAAAGTGATGACATACTTGCATTAGCGTTATCGTATTGTAGAATATATGTTATTATGTATTTTAAAAAAATGAAGAATTTTATCAAATTATATTCAATTCAATAATTTAAGGTATGACTAAGGGCACTATAAAGAATTGAACAGCTGGAAACACCACATACCAGCTACATGCCTTAAAAGACAGCAAAATTAAAACAAAATGGTTACTATCGGATCTTAAGCTTGGATTTCCGATTGGCTCTGTTCAATAATCAAGGACACTCTTAATAATGTTAAATATCTTCTTAATGAAAAAAATGTTGTTAAGCAACAAATATCGCCATTCAGATATCAAACCATACAAGCAAAATGATTGTTTCTGCTCATAATACATATATATGAAATACATGTACGTATATAAATATTACCCTACCCACCCATATTTAACAATTGTCAAGCCATTTTGCTGTTTTGAGTGCCGTATTAAAATATCCCTAAATACCTTCCAATTTGGTTTCGTTTTTGAAAGTTAATTGTATGATCTTGCAAAATATTAACTATATTTTTCGTGTAGTTTTGATTTTATTGCAAATATATCAGGAACCATTCAGGAACAAAAATTTACTATATATCAAACATATATTTTCTTTTCAAAAAGGATCTTGAAAGATACATGTTAATGTATAATGTTTAAAGAAATAGAAAGTTGACAATTCCTAGGGTTTAACCAACGGTTTCAGTTTCAATGCAATTAACAGTATTTGTAACATATTGAAAGTTGGGGTTGTTTTAGGGGTATTCTACATTAAATCAAATCAAGAAGCGAATGTTGTGATTGCAGTATTAGTTGATTACTTTATTATTGCCTTTACATCGAAGAAAAAAATATATGTAGCAGGTGTACAGCCTTCGTCATATCAAAACTTCAAAAGATTTTACTTGAAATGTCAAAATATCTTATACATTTAATAAGTACCTTTAAGATCGATATTTTTCACATCCTAAAATTTTAAACAAAGGCCAATAAAGGAGATTACTAGGGTCATTTTTCAAGTCGTGTTATAACATTTTTCATACTTGCTGTTCTATTCTACGCCCATGTTCCATTTCAGGTGCACTTAATTTCTTAATTCTTATTGTAAAATTTCATAAATTTATCCCTGCATTGGTTATAACTTAAAATGAAATCTGATTGTTTAGTGTTTACACTGGTATTAGGTAAACCAAGCACTCATTCCTCAATGTTAAGTGACTATCAAGCTTTAAAAAAACTAATAAAATCACATGAGAAAAAATATTTGTATTATAAAAGGACAATTGCTCCACGGTATAACTATTCCTTTGTTATATAAAACGACTTTGACACATACAGAAGACATATTGCTTGCCATAATGTCAAAGTTCATAATTATTATAGTAACCTGAGTTGACCGGAAGCCTCCGAGTGAATTTCTCTGGGAAACCAACCATCTCATAATCGGATATCCTGTTGATAGTTGCCTACTGTCAATGAGGTATAACAAAGCGTATGCCGCTACCTCAACCTCTAACGGAGGGCTCTGATAATAGTTGTATTCCCAACTACTTTGATGGGGTGTTTTCGTCAGATTCCAGTACATTTTAAATTCTGAAAAAGATAATAAATCATAGTGCTTAACCCTCAACAAGGCTGCAGATCTCTTGTTCTGAATTTGTCCAGCTTTGAATATTGATTGTGACAAACGGAGTGTAAATAAAGTAAATTTTAAATTAAAACTAGTTCATACCACGTACAATGCGCTCAAGTTTTAATGCAAAAAAGGTTGGTTGCATAGAAAAGGGGAGCAGACGTACATAATTCATGTTTGAATTCAATAGTTCTATGGGCGAAATCCAAGTAAGAAACCTTTAAGCAAAAATTGCGTTTGGGTCAACTTACCTGCCCTTCTGAAAAGGGTAATTTCTTCGTGTAAAAAATTAAGAATAATCTGTCTTGGCGTTCTCATATGACAGCAAAAATAATGCCAAGTTTGAAGTGAATGGCTTTTATATTTTTTTGTGAAAATGGACCTAAACAAAAACGTTAACAGCGTAGACACCAACACCGACGAGAGGGTTATGACAATAAATTTTCTTCAAAAGATTGAGCTAGATATAACCTGCTTTTAATAAAATGCCATGCAATACTACAAGGATGACGATGTTGGCCTTGTTCTATTCAGATTACTTTAAATACGTTTCCTGCAGGTTAAAGAATTATAAATAATTTTGCATTCTGATATTGACTATTTAAAAAAGGAGAGAAATAGAACCCCTAAATAAAGTACAAAACGGCAAAAATTGAAAATTTTGCAAGTTAAGTTTATTTGAGTCTGCGGAAAGTGAAACATGCACCCTTCACATTGTATCACGTTAACAAAGTAGTTTCAATTTTATTTTACCCGTTCAAAATATATGAATTGGACACGAAGACTGCTTACAGACAGGTGGATGGATAGACGACACAAATTCTTTCAAGCGTATAAGTGTTTGTGCCCTAAAGGAGACAAAACTAAAGAGGCAGAACTAAACTTAATTGCAATTGGAAAGGGGGTCAGAGGTTAAGAAGCCTGTATATCATAGATAAGCTGTCGCACGACCAATTCAAAAATCATTCCCGTTAATAAACGGTAATTTCTTACTTATTTCTAAACTGATCTAAACTAAAGGACAAGGCGTAGTGCATTCTAGACGGAATAAAACGACTTTTTCACCATTACAGAAATGTATATGATATATAAAAATACTTAAATATAGTCTTTAAATTGACAGATTCTGGCCATTTTGCTACTTTACGCGTCCCCTCAAAAAATACGTGTTTCCCTTCATTTCAAAATTGATATTGTCAGTAACAGCATTAATTCTTTCGAATTTTCATGTACTTATTAAAATTGTTCAATTATTGGGAAACTATATGTAAGCAAACAGGTAGCTCAGTTTGAAAAGCTAAGGATCAGAATGCAAAGGACTTAGTGTTCGAGTCCCGGTAGGTGATACTTGTGAAACCCTTCTTACACGCCCCTCTCCGTCAAACTTTTATTAAAGAAACTATAACAAATTTTAAGCAACTTGAAAGTATAAATACCTCTAGTTCTAGTTGCCAGTTTTTCTAGTCTTTTGTAAGTCACGTATGCCTTTGCACTCCCGGTCCTGCTGAGTGCGTAGCTGACAATTGCAAGATCATAGATGTCAGTGACGTTGTCATGGTTAACTGCTGTCTCTAAGAAATACCTTGTTTTTCCTATACTTTTTCGGAAGTGGCTGTTCATATTCTATATATATAATGATCAGAAAACCATATAAAAGTAAATTAGTTTGCGTATTTGAATTTTCTAGTTCCCTTGGTAATTACCGTATCAACGGAGATGCTTGTTTACATAATAAAAAAGCGCAATATGTATATGAATTAAGTAGCTGTAGAAAAAGTAAATGTATTTGAGTGTGTGCAGGTAAACTATCGCTTCTATCATTTAAACATGTGACTATGTAAAGTAACAAAAATGGTAATTTGTTGTTAGTCAAAATGTTAAAAATAGATACTTTTGGGACAGGGCCAATCGCTTATGTCAAAGGAATTAGGTCTTACCCGTTTGCTATATATAATTTTGAAAATCTATTGTTTCTGTATATAAACGAAACAAGCCACGCGATAAAAGATGATTACATGATGATGTGTGTACAAAGCGTCATACATCCGGGAAAGCCTCTTACCTGTCGTGATTTACCTGCTTCAGCCAGCGCAATCAAAACAAATGCAGTAAGACTATATCTGGACCGCGAACCACCCTGTAAAAAAATGGTTCATAACTGTTAAAAAGATGGTTCATAGTACAAATTCCATACATAATATGGCATATTGTTTTAATGCAAATAATCTCCACGAATTACAATTGGTTTGTATGCTATACCGTATATACCATGAACCGAATCATGCAAAAATAACAATGTTTTCTACATCGTGGTCGGTAAAATTCGTGTGTGTGTGCGTGCATGTGTGTGTGTGCATGTGAGTGTGTGTGTGTGTGTGTGTGTGTGTGCGCGTGCGCATGTGCATGTAATTCATTATTACGTTTTGTTCTTAATGGCATATTCACGAAACAAATATAACTTTAAAGAAATAACTAAAAGTCACACCGCAATGATGAATTTATTCTTGCCTACAGCTCAAACTTAATGAAATTCATACACAGATATGAAGTGAAGCACTGTGTACACCAGTTGGTGACATTTCAACTTCTTGAATTCCCGATTTCATCTTCGTGAATTCAATATTTCAACTTCACGAAACCACGATTTAAACTTCATAAAGTTGAAATCGTGAATTCGTGAAGTTGAAAACATGTATTCGTTAAGTTGAAGTCGTGAATTCGTGAGGTTGAAATCGGGTATTCATGAAGTTAAAATATTCCAATCGGTATTTCGTACAATTACCTACAGTGATGTAATGTGAAAACTGTTTCAAGTAAGTAATATACATGTATCTGCAGGGATTAACAAACTACGTACACTGTTTATAATATATATGTACAGAAGTAACTATAGCGATTTTCTATGTACACTGTTTAAAAGGTACATTTTATACGAACTTGGAGTGACGCAGTGATTTACTTTTATAGTCTGATTGTATTGGCCTGTCAATTATGAATACATTATAGCACTCATTTAAATATTCGATCGAACTTAGAAAATATAAACCAAAAGTTTACTCTATTTTGCAATCTATCGAATACATTTATATTTATATATTGTGTGCATTGACCGTATAATCAGTATGCAATTGACAGGTTAATACAATCAAACAATAACAGTGTCTATAATATACATATATACAAGTACCTGCAATGATGTACTATGTACAGAGCCAACCGTCTTGAAAGAGCCGTCAGTGTTTTGATAGCGCATGATCCAGTTAGTTGCTTTATTCAACACGTCCTGCGATACATAAACATATCCTTTCGCTTGATGGAACGATTTCAAAACAAATGCCGTCAGCCTGCAAAAAATCACGCAGTTGTTGTAATGTATTCGTTAATATTTTCCATAGAATAATTTTCATTCCTAAAACATCATATTTGTCATATACCCAAGTACCTAAAAACGATGTACCGAACATCTTCTCACTCTTACCCCTAGAAAACTATTTTCTATTACTCAAAACAAAATTTGTGAGCTTTATTCTAACTTAAACACTTGTTGATCGACGACTTAAAACTTAGGACATCAACAGTATAGTAAATATTTTGCTTGTAATGATGACAGTAACATTTAAAGGGAAAAAAAAACACTGTCACATTAATTTAGAGGGACGGAAAAAAGCCACTATAATATCTACAAAGTAATTGGTCTTGGTTAAATAAACAAAACTGACAATACCCTCGGACAAAAAACGAAGTGCCATTACAAAATATTCATGGCGGACAAAAGCCCCTGTGAAATTAACAGAACAAACAAAAAAGCGATAAATCAACAAGACAGATGACAAAATGCGCCTGTCGCACATTCAAAGTTGACTGAAGCGTCAGTGAACCTGTGAGTGGAGATGGGCAGCTTGTTCCCTCCCCTTTAACTTGAACAGCATCGAAACCAACTGATAAAGAAAAGGCACTCCATTTCATATCAAAAAGATAAATTTTGCATTGCGCAGGAATGACATGGCTGAAATGAAAGTGACAGTTAAGTTAGTGGTTTATGTGTTATCTCACTGATAAAATCTAGTGTTTAATCGGTTAAAATAAAAATAAAATAAGTTTACCACATGCTTCCAACTGTGTCTTGTTGTCCCCATATACTAAATGATCCATCTGATCGCTGGAAAGTCAGCTCTCGCTGGTAGCCTGCAATTACATAATGACTCTTTATTAATAATGTGTCTGTCTCATTTGGTTTAGGGAGTTGAAGAAAGAATTACGTTTAAAATATAAGTGCAACTTATCTAAGATATCATAATACTAACTGGATTGTACAATTTGTTTACTTTTTATTACCAGCAAAATGTCTAGAGAATAAAACAATTAGAAGAGACAACGTGGGCAACGAAATTTAAGGCATCGTTTTTTATGTAAGTCCGTAGATATCTGTTTATTAAACTGATACATGGAAAAAGAAAAAAAAACATCGTCTTATATTCACATAATTATATCTTCCGAACAAATTTCAGATAATGAACCGGTCAATTTGACCTTGAAAAAGAGGACCCCTTCACTTAAGTTTTCTATCTTTCAAATATACTACTCAACCTTTGCTATGCACCAAATGTTTTAGTTTGAATATTTTCGGCAATGATTTGAATACCGTCGTACAAATGTCACTGATAAGTTATGTGTTACAGGAGAAAAAGGCCCTCCTGCAGCAAAGTACAGCTGGTCCCTCCAACCCTATTACTGATCCAGCCTGTTACCGTTGTGTTCAACAATATTTTTGGACCATATCTTCATTATATTCTCCAACGTCTGTCAGGAAAGTCTATGCAAAAGCAAACCCTAGACTCATAAGTAAAGACCACATGTACACCTAACATGCTCACTCGCCATTTTCAAACGGTCCTGGCTTTGACGTCGCTCAACAAAATTATGATACCGGGTGTTTTAAAAACGTGATCGCTGATTGCCCTCATGCAACCTTTTACACAGTGTCTGAGTACAAATAATGACCCGAGATGTATCAAGAAGTTCATTACGAAGATGCATTGTTGTTGCACCACTTGCTCCACAATCCCTCACCAATGTAAACAGGTCTGACCTTTGAATGACCATCTGTTTGTAATATCGGACAACAAGGTTGTGAAAACTACCCAATAAAACAACTTGCATTTAAGTTTGGGCCTTGAGGCAATCTCAAAATATTGATAAATGCAGAATAAGTAATTGAATCATTTTATAGTTTTTATTATAAAGTGCTTAAAAGTTGGTATATATAGCAAACGTTGAGTAGTATATGAAACATGAAGAAAAAATCATCAGAAAATTAATGAAGGATATGTGAGCAAAAATATATTACAGTATAACAGTCCTATTTACGTCAAATGAAAAAAAAAGTGTCAATGTCTGATGACAATCAACTGTAATTGTTCCCAGCGTCTCTGGATTCTACTTCAAATTAGAGGACCAACCATATATCCAAATTACTGTTTAATTTAATGTTGTTTTTTTTTTTTTAATTTTCATTAAAAAGGGTCTTTGCGTTTGCGACAATTCCTGATTTTCAAACATTTTTCGGATAAGCCTCGTGTGTTATTACAGTTCTCGGATTGCTAATATTCATTTTATTACACTGAGAGACATATGTTATTGTCTATTACACTGAACCGATATTTTAATTTAACTTTCCTCTGCTATGCATTATTACTCAGTCATTCACCATTGTTTTTAAGTCAATATTGATTACCCGCATTTGGGGAATATTGCAAAACTATTGACCTGGTGATATTCATTTTGAGGATGATAGATCAAAATAACGCCATGTGACGTCACATTAGGCTATATCATAAAAAGTTTTCATGGGGTAAAATAATAAAAATGTAACACGTCTGTCAGGCAATATTGCAAATTAGATTCGCCTCGGATGTTATTTCAGTCCTCGGATTGCTAATTTGCATTATTATCCTAAGACACATAAGTTATTTTTTCATTACACCGAACGGACATTTTAATGTAACATTTCGCTGCTCAGATAGTTTTTAATTTACCAAAATGTACTTCATATATGGGAGAGAACTATAGCATTACGTTTTCTTAAGTCTATACAGATTACTCTCCCCTGTTAAATATTGCCAACAATTGTTGACCGGATAATATTCATTTCCAGGATGATAGATCCAAATAACACCATGTGACGTAACATTTGGTTAAAAATATTTACGTGAGGTAAAATAAATACTATTATTAAATCAAACTCCTCATAATGATTTCATCCCTTGCCAGATGGTTATGATAAGGGGAGATCACTGAGTAGGAGATTGCTTATTAATCAGTATTCAGTGAGAATATTGTTTTTAAGTTTTACGGGATGAAATACAAAAACATCTTACACAACAAACTTTTTTTATTTTATGCTGAAAAAAGAATGTCAATGAAATTTCCTCTTTATTAACTTTTATATTAAAATCTCTTTTTTGCACTGGTAGCCACTTAGGTTTCTGATAAAGCTGAGGGTGACTGATAAAACTAAATGTATCAATGTAATGACATGTCGAAGATAATATGATGATTCAGCTTGCAATTTGGTTAGGAATATCAGTATTTGGTGACTGTTTGATAAGAATAGACTCCCTTGGATCATAACAATTATATTTATGGTAGAGCTTCTGAAATATAAGATTATTTTTCGTTGCTTCAGTTGCATACGGGACATTATTGTAAATATGTTATAAATGTGTTACGGACCGATAGACAGAAAATGCAAATAATATATCATCCTTCAAATTTCTTTGCAGGGAAATAACAAGGAAAACAAATATGAGGCGAGCATGGGGCTTTACTCACTGAGTGTGTGGTTGACTGTTTATTTTCAAAACATAGATGATAATTACAATAACGAATATGACGTGTATTTTTGTATGTCATTAATTTTATACTCCAATAAACATGTTTAATTAAAAACAAAATATTGGTTTCAATATATTTTTACTTGTATATTTGTATATTCCATAAATCATTAAAAATAAACTGATTTGATCATTAACTTTTTCTCTATGATATTTCTTTATTTTCTCTTTTACAAAATAATTAACTTAAAAAATGGCAAAAAGATATATATTACCACTGCAAAGAGATGTCTGTGTGTGTTCTTTATCATAAATATATATGATAATGGTGATCATTATACGTTTGCAGTTGATGTTTAATACTTGTCTTTCAAGTGGGACGGTATAACAACATAAGGCGTTGTTTACTTGATATGATTGTTACCTTCAATAAATCTTTAACAAATTGTCATATGGTGTATTAAAATATCAGGGCGAAAAATAGACAAAACAAAATGACTGTTTTAATGATTTACTAATTTAACTATAGCGGGCAGACCGGTAGGTTAGAGATATCGAGAGGAGTCTTTATTGTTAATGTATTGTATCGCTGGCAAAATTCACTTGCCATCAAAATTCCATTCATTTGTCATTTATAAAAAACGATCTTTCTAAAAAATAATATATATTACCTCAGTTTGTGTAATTGTATATGATAACACCATATCCACTTACTTTAAAGTACTAATGATTTCTTTTTTGTGTTGAACTAATAGAGCATTTCGAAATATTGTAACATAAAACGCAATCTTGAGTAGATAACTTATACAACATTTTTATGTACAGAATCAGGAATGGCAAATCTATTGGATGAGTAAGGAATTTCTAATAGTGTAATAGGCTTGTTAAAAAAAATTGGATCATAACTGTTATAACTATGGTAGAGCCAAAGAAATGTAAGATTTTCTATCGTTGTTTTAGTTTCATAAGGGGCATTATTGTAAATGTGTTATTATGTCAATGAAAGACCTTTGGAATTTTAATGTTTAATGGTGGGCATGCGCAGAAGTTTCTTTAGATTCTTCAAGGTCGGTCCCATTGTATCACCTACAATATTAGCAAAGCATTTTCAAAATAAATTCACTCTTAAAAATTAAGGATATATTATGAATGTTGATTCAATACTGAATGTATTTAATAAGCTGAATAAAAATATATTCTACAAGCCTGTGTTGAATTTCAGTAAAAGAGGTGTATATAATTATGTCTACAATAGTTCAATGTTAATTTTCAATAATTGATCTATTTGTAAACACTAATAGTGGTAACACAACTAGTGTTGCCAGTCAAGCTTGAGTACAGCACGTTTTAGTGAAAGAAATAAAGAAATCTAAGTATTTACCAATAACTGAAATTTGTACTTTCTGAGAGTCAGCTACAAAACTTGGCGGGAAACTTAACGGAATATCAGTGGATGTGTGTTCATTTAGTATTACGGGTATGTTAAAGTGCATGGGTGTCCCCTCAGCTACAACAATCAGGTCCTTAATCACTCTATCGCCTGATAGAACTGACTGGGCTTTTACGGCTACTTTAGCTACTCCAATGATGTTGGCAACGACTGGTATAAAAACAGATTCCGCTTGACCGGCTTCAATCTGTTAAATACACACTTTGTTAAATGATAGTAATATAGACATATGTACGCGCATGCGCTCGCGCGTGCACACACGAACATAAACATATTTTTAAAAACGAAACATATATCACAGTATTCTGATTCACAGTCATATCACTGTACCTGTGTTAGAATTTGTGACATATATTTGCTCATTATTGACATACTTAAATTCTACTGATAATTTGTGACATAGATATAACTAATTCTAAACAAATTTTAAAATGTTTTCACATCAAAAATTAAGAATTATAAAAAGACGTATGCTAATATTATACTCAGACAAGTAACAGATTTTGAAATCTATATATTAACTCATCTAAGCCTTGTGTAAAATATGATTACAGAAACTAATAAAAAGAATGGAAATTATGACCCAAGAATAATCTTTTCAATAAAGACAGTGCAGTACAAGTTTACACAAAGATAACTTAAGCTAGCTCGTCGTCCGTTAATTTAACTTTTTTAATGCATGTATGTACGAATAACCATTACTCTATTGCATAATGGGTATAATTTTGATAATTCAAACTTTTGTCATACTTTGCCCTTAGCATGAAAATCCTTGATTGAAAGTGTATACAATAATTTGCTAAAAATTCCACAAAAAAAGTCGTTACCACACTTTTAAACATCATAGTCAGGTATTGGTTTTTGCTTATTATTATAACCATCTTATAACTTGAATTTCTCCGGTCAGGATTTGCCACAACAATAAAGATATTCATTTGAATTTTAAGAGTCATGTTTGACAAAGATTTATTG